AACCCCAGGCCGGGTGCCAGCTGCCCTCTCAGGCGGTGAGTACCTTGAATGAAGTCATTTCCCTCTGTGGGGCCTCAGTCCCATCATCTGCAAAAGAAGGGACTAACATTTCATCTCATGGGCCGTGTCTGCTTAGATGATAGGAACTCCCTGCAGCACTGTGCTGAAGTTGCGTCTCGGCTCAGTAGGAAGGGGCACTGAGATCGATTGGCAATGCCTGCCCTGGGCACCAGGCTGCACGATAACACCTGTCGGATACTCACCACCCCAGCTCCATCCTCAGGTCCCGGGGTGCATCTGGTGTCAGAACGCTGTTCTGAGGACACCAGCCCCCTCAGGAGAGACACGGGAGAGGTAAACCAGCTTCTTCCTCAGTTCAGCTTCATCCAGACTGAGAACCCATGAGCGGACCTCTCACTCTGAGGCCACAGGCTGGGTCAGACTCATTTCCAGAAGCTCACAATCTGGTGGAAGAGATTTGAGTGCAGCCACGCAGCTAGAAAGCAAAACAGAAAATGTCTGTGTCCTCATTAAAAAGAAGATAAACATAGAAACATAGTCCCTTGGAAATGAAAAGGACTGGATAGGAACTCGCTGGAGGTAAATTAGAAAAGAATGGATGGAGAAAGCGACTCCAAATCTCTTCAAAGGGCAGAATAGAACATGTGGGCGGACAGGGGAAGCGCGTGGCAAAGGTACCCAGACAGGAAAGGGCAGGGAACAGTGTGAGGAACAGCAAATTGGAGATCTCACCCCGCCTGGGAACGCTGCCCTCCAGCTAGAGCAGGTCCAGGGTCTTTGTCTGCACCTCTTTGTCAGGAAGGAGAGCTCAATACTCCATTCTTCTTTCTTAGACTAAAGCTGGGAAGAGTTTTTTCTGTCAGGGCCTCCCACTTCAGCCTCCAACCAACACTGGGAGAACACACTTTAGTGTGGAATGAAATGGCCAAGGGCACAAACTCTGGAGGCCGCCTGTCTGGGGTAAATCCTGGCTCCACTACTCCACTATAGTATTTGGCAAGTAACTTTACCGCTCTGTGCCTCAGTTTCCCTCTCCAAAGATGGGACCTTAGGGACTTTTTGGGTCTCCCCCGTGAGCAGGGGAGTTACTAACCACACCCTGGCTCTCTGTGGCACAGGTGACAGGACAGCATCCAGGAAGCATGGGGACCCCAAAACCCTGCCATGCAACTACTGCCTCCAGTTGGATGCAGAGCATTTCTGGGGTCTCTTTGAGAACGTTTGTGTGGGCCATTCCCACAGGATACCCAGTTAGCGTACTTGTTGGGCATGAGTATCTGTCTGTGCGAGGCCAGGGGCCCCCATCTTCCTGCCTTCATTCCCACAGTTGCGTCTGCTCAGCATCTACTGTGTTGTGTTCTGGTGTTGACATTGGTGGTCAAGGAAGGTCTCTAGGAAGAGGTGACATTTCAGCAGGGATCTAAGTGGCCAGTCAGCGTTTGGGGGGAAAGACTTCAGGGGCAGAGGATACAACAGGTACAAAGGTCTCGTAAGGGAGCCGCACATGTCGGAGCAACAGCAGATGTGTCCGGTGTACAGAGATGGTGGGGGGAGGGGATGAGACCGCAGGGCCAGGAAAGGCCAGATTGCACAGGGCCTAGTCATGCCAAAGACTTCATGCTATCAGGTCATGAGGCTTTGGCAAAAAAAAAAAAAAAAAAGTAAATAAAATAATAAGGGCAAAGGCAGAGCCATCTCCAGAGTAAAGGTAGGGAAGGTCTCTCTGATGAGGTAAACAACCTTTGAGAGAGACCTGTGTTACATGAGGGTGTAGAAGAACATAAAGGATATTTGGGAAAGACATCCACGGGTGCAAAGGCCCTGGGGTAGGAATGTGCCCGGCATGTTTGAGGAACATCAGGGGCAGAATGGTGAGGGGTGAGCACAGGGGAAAGGAAGTCCAAAGGCTGGAGCCTCTATCCCACAGGGTAAGGAGGTCGGGTTTTAGTCTGAGCAAGGTGGAAGTCATGCACAGAGGAAGGTGGTCTGAGGTGGGGGTGGGAAAGGCCACAGGCAGAACAGCATTGCAGTGGGCCCATCCTCACTGCACTGGACGGCCTGGCTTCTGGTCAGGGGGGCCTGAAGGGATCCCTTAGACATGCTGCTGGGGCTGGGCCCTGAGAGCGCCGAGCAGAGGGTAAAGGCCGCCCCCTTCCGGGAGGCCTGCGGGCAGCAGCCGCTTGTCCAGGCAGGAGGATGTTCTCACTGATTCGGAGGAAACAGCATGAACCACATCAAAAGGGGGCCTGGGTGGCTCCCACGCTCAGGCATCGTGAGAACCCTGCTACCCCAGGTTCTCGCAGGGGGCCTGCAAGTTGAAAGAAGCTGTCCCCCAGCTCCCGGATAGATAAATAGAAAACAACCCTCGCACACACTCCCTGCCGCCCCTCCCCAGGTGTGAGCCTGACTTTTGTAATACAGGTCTCTGTGGCTTCCAAGGGGTACCAGAAATTAAAAAGATCTGAGATCTGAAACCTTCCTTTTCTGAGGTTCTACCTCCCCTAATTCCAGAGTCATGAGCTGGACCAGACTTTGGACATCATGTATATCTGGGGTAGCATCTGTCCTTATTGATTGGTAGAGGGAACCTGGAGAGAGGTATGCTGAGGATCCTGCTCAGCTTGAGAGTGCTGTGATGGATTAGTGATGTCTGAACAGGTAGGAGACCAAAAGTGGTGGTATGCATGCTGGATATTCTTCTTTCCTCCCATTTTACAGGCAGCCCTGGAGAGAAGGAGGGACATTTTCTTATCCTGAGAGAGAAGGGAAGGAAAGGGGTAGGGGAAACCTGAGTGTGTTGAGACCACAGTGTCTTCACTAGAGGTGGTGGGAAGAGGAGAAGCTTCAGCTACAGACTCCTGAGCCTTCTAATAAGATTGTAGGGAAGGGTGATATTTGGGTGCTGATACCCCCCAGGAAGGTTCTGGAGGATGATAACAGACCCCAAGAAGGCTCGGCCCCATCTCTTAGGTCCCAGGAAGCTGCTAGGAGAAACTTGAGACATCTGCACCTGTACCCCTGCACCAACTGTGGAATTCACATCTTTGGATTCCTTGAGCTCTCACAAGATGAACCCTGTTAGAGATAGGGAAACCAAGGCACAACACCCTTCCCCCCACACCTCAACTAATGGTTCTTGGGGGCCTCCATGGTACCTCCTTCCTGTAGCACTTCCCTCAGAAGCTGTGTTCAGTGGCTCCAAGTCGCCCAGAGTTTAAGGGACCCCAATATGTGCTCCAGACACCGTCTCCCCAAGGCCTCATAGTGTCCTGGCTGACCTGGTGTGAATCAGCATTATCTGCCTGTGTCCCTGCCTTTGGGTGGCAGGGTCCTTTGTAGGCTGCATAGTGCTACAAAGTATCTGTGAGGGCCGGGGTGCATCTCTGGGTTTGCACCCTGCTTCTCTTTCTGGGGGGTCAGCTGTGGCCCGGGCCTGAACTGGCGCATCTCGACCACTTGAGTGTCCTTGCAGCGTGTGTGTGCACGAGTCACCTGGAGTGTGTGCACATTTGTGTTTGCGCACCACAGATGCGTGCAGCGTGCTCCCCAAGCATTTCTCTGTGTTTGAGGACCTCCTGGGGGTGCTGTGGGCACATGTGATGTCGCATGTTCCCAGGTGGGGGTGTTTGTGTGTCTGTGTGTGCACGGGACATGTCGGACAGGGACTGCTTGCTTGTGCATGCTCTCGGCTGTGCATGTGTATCTGTGTACTTGTGCGTGTGCATGTCAACACAGCACGTTTGGGGCTAAGGTAGTTCTCTACCCAGAGCAGCAGCACCCAAGCCTGCCAAGTGTACCATTTGGTTGACGGCACCTCCCAGCCAGCTCCCGGGGCCGGCTGTGGCTGCCAGGCCAGGTGACCAGCTGCCCCGGCTGACCTCAGACCTTAGCGAGCGAGCACAGGGCCTGCAGGGCCTCCTCTCCTGCGCTCACTGTCCCAGCACCCCCTCCTGGCACACACCCAGGTCCCTCAGTTTCCCTGGGCACCAGCATAAGTAAGCCCTGAAGTCACACAAGCTCAGAGGAGCAGCCGGACAGACCACGCATCTGCTTCTCCAGCCTCCCACCGGCCCCACGGGCAAGGGGGCACCCCGTTTTGCAGGAACCTGACGGGGACAGAGGCTGGCAGACTCACCCCAGTTCTTCATGCAGCAGCTGCATGGTTTTCTCTCCAAGATGCAGAGAAGTTCCACCCTGCCCTCAGGAGCTGAGGGTGAGATGACTCAGCCAGGGTGACACGCGGGTGGCAAGGATGACTGGCAGGGTCTCTGTTAAGTGCCAGGAACTGCACTGTGCCCTGGGCACTCAGAAGCCCACTGAGTCCTCACAGCAAACAAGAGAAGCGCCATGTCACCCCCGTTTTACAGATGGGCCCACTGCTGTAGGCTAAGCAGCTCTGCTGAGCCCAGAACCGAGCTCTTTGGGGGGGAGGGGGAGGGAAACAAGGCACGTTGTCCCGGGGTCTTTGGCTTTGGAAACCCTGGGCTTACCGGCACTAATCCTGTCTCCTTCTGCCGAGCTGATCAGAGGCTGCATGTGCTTGTTTGTGTCCCGAGCTTCCTTCCCAGTGGGAGAGAGTGTTTAAACATAGGATTCCTTCTGGGGATTTCACCCGGGTGCGGGGAGCAAACTCAGAGAGGTGCTAGAATGGCTGAGTCACTCAGGTTGGGGTTCAGGCACAGTGGCCCCTGGAAGGGAGCAGCTGGGGTGGGTGTGCTCGCTGACCGGGGGCAGCAGGAGGGCCCCAGGGCCCATTCCATCTCAGCCAGGGTGGAGCAGTCACCGCCACCCCCAGGGGAAGGATGGCAGGAGGACAGCTCCCTGTTCTAGAGGCCACCTGGAGGTATCGTTCTAGATGAGATATGGACACAAGGGCTGAGTATGCCCAGGAGCCAGAGCCAGAAACCCAGCCAGGGTCCCAGAATATTCTGGTATCTGGGGCTGGAGGCCAGCTGCAGCCTCTTCTCTTCTCCCTTTAGGGTCCCCGCACTTCCGGTGAAGAACTTGAGTGGGACAGGACCAGTCCACCCAGCCCTGGCAGGTGAGGTGCAGTTCAGAACAGGACATAAGAGTAAACGCTGTAGTCTTCAGCCCCAGGTAGGGCTGAGTGGGCCAGGTCGGGGAGCACCCCACGCACCTGCCTACCGAGGGTCCCAGGATTCTCAGCCCCAGGTGGGCGGGGCCTGGAGAGGCACTCCCACCTATCCCTGACCGCAGCCTCACCCCCAGGGATGACCGGGATCCTGCTGTGCGCGGCGGGTCTGCCCGTGTGCCTGACGCGGGCGCCCAAGCCCATCCTGCACCCGCCGCCCGTGAGCAAGAGCGACGTCAAGCCCGTGCCTGGCGTGCCAGGAGTGTGCCGCAAGACCAAGAAGAAGCACCTCAAGAAGAGTAGGCCTTCCACGCCCTTAACCCCGCTGACCTTTGACCCAGACCTCTGACCCCTCAGCTCCAATTGCTTCTTAGGTCTCATGACCCCACCTTCTCCTCGCCTCAGCTCCCAGCCTCCTGACCCCATTGCCACAACCCTTATTCCTTCTAACCTGCAGCCACCCTTGACCCCCTCCTTCTGACCCCTGACTCCATTCTACCTCCCGTCCTCAGGGTACCCCCCAGTACCCTCCAGCCCACCCCGCGGTGTCCTTGCAGGTAAGAACCCCGAGGATGTGGTTCGGAGGTACATGCAGAAGGTGAAGAACCCGCCTGATGAGGTGAGCTGGAGGCGGGTGCAGACAGCGCCCCGCCCGCCCCTCGCGGCCTCCCCGGCTCCTCTCCCAGGTGGTCCCACCTGCCTTTCTTCGTCCTTTTGGATGGACAGAAACGCGGCCTTTAGCAGAATCACATGCATCCATCTTTTGATGACTGGCGGTGTTGTGTCTTATTTTTGCCCAGATTTCCAGCCCGGGTGTTTAAGCTTGGCTTTTGACGGAGGAGCCTTTTATCCCTCTGGAGCGGGGTGTGAGGGAGCAACTCTCCCCTGCCCTGCACCTGGCCTCCGAAGGGGGGAGGTCTGCTCCCCTCGGGGGGCTCCCCAGGGCAGGGCAGCCCCTGCTCAGTGCCCCGTGTGCCCCCAGGACTGCACCATCTGCATGGAGCGGCTGGTCACCGCCTCGGGCTACGAGGGCGTGCTTCGGCACAAGGGCGTGCGGCCCGAGCTGGTGGGCCGGCTGGGCCGCTGTGGCCACATGTACCACCTGCTGTGCCTCGTGGCCATGTACTCCAACGGCAACAAGGTGGGTTGCGGGCGCAGGCAGGGGCACCGGGCAGGGCCGGGACGCCCGGAGACCTGACCGTGGCCCCCCCCCGCCCCAGGACGGCAGCCTGCAGTGCCCCACGTGCAAGGCCATCTACGGGGAGAAGACGGGCACTCAGCCCCCCGGGAAGATGGAGTTCCATCTCATCCCCCACTCACTGCCCGGCTTTGCCGACACCCAGACCATCCGCATCGTCTATGACATCCCCACCGGCATCCAGGTGGGCCTCCGACCCCCAGCTCCTCCAAAACCCGGGTCTCCCGTACCCACTTGTGTCTCAAGCTCCTGCTGCCCCTCCTCACAGGGCCCAGAGCACCCCAATCCGGGCAAGAAGTTCACCGCAAGAGGCTTCCCACGCCACTGCTATCTACCCAACAACGAGAAGGGCCGGAAGGTGGGTGCCCAACCCTGTGGGCGCATGCGGTGTGGGAGCAGGCAGCGCCCCCAGCCACTGCCACCCTAGGCTGTGCCCCCCAGGCCCCCCATTCTCTGCTCTCACCTTCCTCCCACCCCCACATGGGCTATAGCCCCCTAACACTGCCCGAGGGGCTGAGGTCAAGATCTTCACCCCATCGTGTGAAGAAACAAAGCCTCAGAGAGGGCAGGTAACTTTTCTGGGTCACACAGCCAGTAAGTGGCGGGAGATAGATTGAATCGAAGCAGTCCAGGTGTTCTCCACCACACCATGGATTTTGTTTGGCTTTTTTTTTTTTTTCAAGAAAAGTCAGAAATTCAGATTCTCATGTGAAATTTAAAATTTTTGAATATTGCCAAGGAAGTGATGAAGTGCCTGCTCAGAGTAGTTGGCTTTCCCAAACCAACACTGTTGAGGGCCATCGGTCCTTTTCCCGCCCCAGAAGAAACAGGCAGGTATCTTGGAAAGGGCTGGGGATCTCCTGGGGACCTCAGTTTAGGGAAGGAAATGACAGTGCTCAGGGAAGCCCGCCTCCCTTCATCCCTCCCACACAGGTAACAGGAACCCGGACGGTAGAGTGGGCGGGCTTGAGGCCGTAGGTGATTGGCGGGCTCCGGTGGGGGCGGGGTCTGGGCGGTGGGCTCCGCATGTGGGCGGGGCTGCCAGTGACCCCGCCCCGCCGCGCAGGTGCTGAGGCTGCTCATCACGGCCTGGGAGCGGAGACTCATCTTCACCATCGGCACGTCCAACACCACGGGCGAGTCGGACACCGTCGTGTGGAACGAGATCCACCACAAGACGGAGTTTGGGTCCAACCTCACGGGCCATGGGTACCCGGACGCTAGCTACCTGGACAACGTGCTGGCGGAGCTCACAGCCCAGGGCGTGTCCGAGGCTCCTGCCAAGGCCTGAGAGGCCCCAGCCGCCCGCCTTCCCTCCTGCTTTGCCCCTGGGCCGGAGCACGCCTCCCTCTGCCGGGTGTGCCCTGGTGGCCGGGGTCAGGGCCGAGGAGCATCCTGCGGAGAGAGCCAGAAGCAACCGGGATTCGGCTGGCGGCAGTTGGGACGATGATGGCGGGACAGCAGGGGAGCAGCGTGGCCGGTCCGACCAGGGCTCCCCGGGAGGGCCGCAGAGGGCACCGGAAACCACAGCAACCTCCCTACCAAAAGACAGAGCCCCACCCCTCACACAAACACACGTGTCCTGTTGAACACATGCACGCACACCCACGTGCCTCTACTTACCCCCAAACTTGGGGGAAGAGACAGAACGACCCCTGTGAGACTCCGTGTGGATCCCCATCTGTGTCTAGCGCATCTGTACAGGCTTGTCTGCGAGCAGGATTCGGGTCAGGCGCCTGCGGGGGCTGCGGGAGTGAAGGGGCGCTGGGGAAGCTCAGTGCTCTCCCGTCCTGACACCCTTCTCTGCACCCCACTGCTCGGCCATTGTGGTGGAAACCCCCAGATTATTCCTTTGGCGGTTTTGCAAAGGGGTGGGCCCCCTCATGTCTGTCTTCTTTTGGGCTTGTATCTTCACCTTTCTGGGACCTGACCTCCTCCTCCCCCCTCCCATCCCCTGTCTTAAGTCTGGCCCAGATAAAGGCACTGGTCTCCTTTCCTGCCCACTCCATCCTCTCCACCAAACTGCCCTCCGTTGTCCAGATCCAGAGACTGGAGCTCCTGGCTTCGCCGGCCAGTGGAGGAGGCCTCGCTCAGGCCAGCAGGTTTAAAAAGCAGACTGGACAGCAGAGAGTCCATTTCCCTTTCCTTGCAGTGGGCAGTGGGGTGGCTGGTAGTCTCGGCCAACCAGGGGCCTGTTGCCCAGGCAACTCACCAGCTCCGCCTCTGTGGATTGGCTGCCACGGTAGAAGTCAGCCAAGATTTAAAGGGATGCCAGCATTGCTCTTTTTGAAAACCTACCAGTCCCACTGTGGGTGGAGAAATAAACGGTCTTTCTCCTCCTCACTCCGTTTTCTTCCTGCCAGTGTGGGGGGTGGGGGGTGCTGGTGGCTCCTTGCCTGGGAACCTTCATTTTCCCCCAAATGAATGGCCCTTTTGCTACAAAAGGAGCCCTCGGGACCCTTGCCCCTCCGCCTTCGAACTGCGAAAGTGGAGGGTCCCCATCATCCTCTCATCCTGAGTCAGACCCTGCTCCCCACCAGGGCACAGTAGAGGGACCCCTCCAGCTTGGCCACGGGGCAATTCACATAGCAACTCCTTGGTAGGGTTACTAGGAAGGAGTTCGGGTAGGAAGCTGAGGTTGCAGGAAAACTGGAGGAACTGGTAGGCGCTGTGGGGACCTCCGAGCCCCAGCCGGACCTCAAAGTGAGGGCCAGGTTCTGTCCTGGGAGAGATGGAGATGGAGCAGGCTCCAGCCGCTCGCTGTGCCTCTTCCCAGAATGCGCGGGCTGCGACGGATGCTGCGGCTCCGGGCGGCCCCTGCTGGCCACTCTCGGGATAGCACCATGTCCTCTGCCCGCTGCAGCAGCCAGGCCCACTTCAGCCTCTGTCCCCCCCCCACACACACACCCCTCCGCCCCCCCACCAGTCACACAAACCGGAAATGAGTCCTTGGAGTCCCTTCTAATTCTGCCGGTCGGTGAGCCCCAACTTTGTATCCTCTATGATTCATTCTCAACAATCTCACCTCAAACCCTGACATAAAATTGCCCAGCCCGGTGACCCTCATAATGCTCCACATCAGCTAAGGAACTTGTTGAACACCCCAACCCCTGCCCCCAACTCCCTCAGATTCTGATTCAGCAGATCTGGGTGGGTCCAGGAACCTTTGCCTCTAGCCGACACCCCAGGTGCGAGCTTGGGACCAGTCTAAGAAGACCCACCCTGACTCCTAGCGCCAACTGTGAAGCCCAGTTTGAAAACCACACATCTAGACTCACTCCTTCCTCGCTTTATACAGGGCAAACAGACATCCAAAGACAGGGAAGGAGCCACCCCAAAAGCTCCCGGCTCCAAGGGCCTGAGTCTGGCACACTGGCCTCCCAGCCTCAATTCTTCCTAAAGGCCTCTGACTCTGGGTGCTTACGGCGGGGGCCCTGAGCCAAAGGCAGGGTTCAGGAGATTCGATGGCAGAGATTGGCAGACGTGAGAACAGGAAGGGCTGCGCCTGTCTAGTGCCTATGGACCACAAGGACACATGGGCATCAGGGTTTCAGGTCCAGCTGTATCCAGCAGCTCAGAGCCCACCCAGCCCACTGGGGCAGGGAGAGGCGTGCGACAGGAGCCTCAGGTTGAGCTCAGTGAGGTGGGCACCTTATCCCATCCTTTCCAGTCTGCCTCTGCCCAGATAGTGAGACTTTTCAGTGCGAGACTGGCCTCCTGCCAAAGGGTTTCCGTGCCTCAGGTTCTGGGATATCTCCAGAAGCCTCCAAGCCATAGCATCAATGAGCAACAGGAAAGTCCTGAGGAGCCTTCTGAGCCAGGGTACACTGAGAAAGGTCCAAGGGCTTTCTACTCCTTCCAGGCTGATGCTGGTATCTTCTCAGCGCCTGAGGGGGCCTAGGGCCGCCTTTCTCAGCTCCTGCTTCTGGAATTCCTCGTGGGCTCTATCCAAGTCTTCAAGCACCTCCAACAGGCGGGCAGTTGCCTCTTTCTGCCGGGCCAGGACTTCAGTACAGCCCCCTGGGAGGAAGGCAAGGGGGTGGCGGGGTCAGTCTGGCCAGCCCCAGGGGCTTTCTCAGGCTCCAGAGCCTGCCTTGTGCCCTAAGGACCCTAAGACGTACCACAGCTCCCCCACAAAGCCCCTCCGGCCTGCTGGTGGCCTGGAGATGAGGTGGGGAGACAGAGGGCAGGTTGGGAAGTTGTGGGAAGTGTCAGAGAGGGTCCTTCTGCACCCCTACCTTCCCCAGCATCGCTGCCCGGGCCTGGGTCTGCCTCCACAGGGGTGTCCAGGTTGGAATCCTCGAGGAATTTCATCCTGGAAGTTAAGGGGGCAAGAGGCAAAGGTAGCCCCTGATTCCCTGCCCCGCTCCCTGCCCCTATCTTGCTCCTCCGGGTTCCCACCAGCCACACTGTCTCCGTCATCATGATCACAGCAAGCCTTTACTAAGTATAAGACACTAGTCAAAGCCACTTACATGCATTCACTCATTTTCACCACACGCACTCACAAGTTTATCTGAGGGAGATACTTACTAGTTCCATTATACAGATCATCAGCAAGACACAGAGAGGTAAAGCAACTTGCCTGAGGTCACACAGCAGAATAACCATCATTATCTTTGATAGATAGCCAACTGTGTGACCACACAACTACGAAGTCCTTTACCTGCATGAGTTCAGTTCAAGCCCATGAAGCAGATAGCACTCATTTTGCAGATGAGAATATTGAGATACAGAAACAGGAAGCAACTGGCCCCAAATCACACAGCTGGTAAGTGGCCAAGCCAGGATTTGAACCCAGGCAGACCGGTTTCAGAACTGAAACTAATCTGTCACTGAACGACGGTGATCCTGAGGCCAGGGGAGGGAAGGGACTCGTCCTAGGTCTATGCCCATGTCTCTGGAGTATTAAAAGAGCCAAAATCCAGGTCTGGATTAGGGCTCACTCACAGAAGCTTCCCGGTCCACACCTTGGCCTGGCCCGGGACACTCAGCTGAATGGATAAAATGCACATGGTCACAGGAGCAGAGTTCTGGGGGTGCGAGGTGGGAACCCACCTGAGCTGATCGCGCCCCAGGAGCAGCTGCCGATACACCATCTGGGTCTCAGCATCGGGATCTAGTGGGTCGCTCCAGTCCCCCAGGGTGACGGCCGAGTGTGTGCGGCTGCAGCCGGCAGCTAAGGAGGACACAGCCCATCGGGTCCTGCCCCTCCCCCTCCAGAGCCCCAGCAGCCGCCAAGCCCTGCCCCACACCTCCACCCTCACCCCACAGTTTCATCTCCCCCTGGACTGCAGCGCGAGCCTCTGCAGCCTCTCCCGCAGTTCAGGCTCCTATCCTAGGCTGGACCCTCAGCCCTCCCTGTCTCACTTCTCAGCAACTTAGTTCAGTTGCTCCACCTGAAATCCTTCCTTCCCCCATCCCTGTGTCCAACTTCTACAAAGCTTAGCTCCCACTTATCTCAGGTCACACATTTAAGCAGCAACTCCTCCAGGAAGCCCTCCTTGCTCTCCTACCCTAGGATTGAGTCAGAAGCATTCTCAGGAGCTTCAGATGAGGCCTCATCTTGGCACTTACAAGTGTATTACAATCGGCTGGCTATTCATTTGTCTCCCTTGAGAGTGAGCCGGCTAGCTGGCTGTGTACCCATAGATGCTTTAAAAAGAACACCTCACCACAGGGAGCAGCAGGGGGTGTGAGCAGTGTTCTGAAGACTGGGCAGATCAACTCGCTTAATCCTCACAACTGCCCCATTCCGTAGTTGACGAGTCCATGGCACAGAGAGGTTGGGTAACTGGCGCAAGGTTGCACAGCCAGCCCTCGGCCAGGGGGGGACACCCGCTGATTGACGGATGCGGGGGGCGGAGCCTGAGCCCGCCCTGCCCTCTCACCTGAGCGCTCTGCCTGGAGGCAGCAGGTCCAGCGTGCACCTCGGAAGGCACCGGGGTGGCAGGTGGCCAGTTTGTCCGGGTTGGGGGCGCTGGCTTTGCGCAGGGCCGACAGCCACTGGTTGAGCTCGTTCACATTCTGCCGGGGCCGTGGGGGGCAGTCAGGGCCGAGAGGGAGCCGGAGGGGGGCCAAGGGACGCCCTCCTCCGCCCATCCTGGCGGCTGCCTCACCTTGCACTGGAGGTAGGTGGTGTGCTGGGCCCCCGTGCCGTCCCGCGTCACCACCTGCATCACGTGCGGCAGCTGGAAGGCGCCCTCGTCCACGCGCTCCACGGCGCGGATGTTCGCCACCGGGATGAGGCAACGCGTCTGGGAGAGAGGACTGTAGCTGCAGGGCGGCCTGGGGGGCTGCGGCCTGGGGGCGAGGGTGGGGCGGGGGAGCATGCAACCCCGCGTCTGTGCTCTGCGCGCGCCCCTACGCGGTCCAGCCCCATCACCCAGTAAGTGCAAATGCCCTGGGCATCGGTTTCTGTCTTAACAGCAATACCCGGTGAGTGGGGCTTGGCTCTAAGTCCTTCGCATTTCTCAGCTTATTTATATGCGACAGAAATGTCTGAGGCTGGGCCTATTATTCCTCCCCGTTGCAGATAAGGAAACTGAGGCACAAGAGGACAGTGACCCCCCTGACGTCCTTCAGCGGGTGGAACCAGGCTGCTGAACTCCAGGAAATGCGTCCACACCCCCCCCTCCAGGGTCAGCTGGGGGTGTTGCTTTTTATGGAGGTGCACCCCAGAAGTGGGCAGGCCCCCCACCTGTGCCTCAGTTTGTACTGGACCTTAAGTGGCAGGCTTGCCATAGAGGGCAGTGTTGGTTGAGGGGCCCTGCCTGTCCCAGGGCTGTACCTGTAAAAGTGTGTTGAGTGGATGCGGGAGGGAGGGGTGAAAGCAAGGAGCGTGGCCGCCGCACCCCTGAGCAGGCAGAGCTGTTTTGTTTGCATGCACAGGACACACCCAGGAAGTGGGTGCGGCCGGCGCCCTCTGCGTGTCTACATCTGGGAGGGGCCTCCATGCCCATCCTGAAGGACATCTGCTGGTCAGAGTGTGGGGGGGTCATCCTGGCCCTGTCCTGGGCCTGGGTTCCTCCCACGGATACAGAGTCAGCGCCCGAGGGTCAGCTGGGAGCCCCCCGCCGCGGGCTGGAGCCCCACCTGACACTCAGGATTCTTGGAGTAGGTGAAGGTCTCCCCGCTGAGCCAGAAGTAGCGCTTCTTGAAGGCAAAGCGAGTGGCCAGGGTGGCGGGGTCCTCCTTGCGCTTTAGCAGGTAACCTTCTCGAACAGCCACCGAGGGTGGGACCAGGACCCTGGCCGGCCCCCCAGCCTCTGGGAAATGGGGAGCAGGTCAGTGAAGCCCTGCCATGCAGGGCTCAGCCAGTCCCACTGTGTGCGCCGGGACTCTGTGGATGAGCATGGCTCCTCCTGCCTCGAGGAGGAGACGGGACTCTGGACCTCACGCCCCTCGGGGGGATGGTATCATGGAGGCCGGAGGAAGGGCACAGTGGTCATGAAGTGGACCTTGGGCCCCCCATCAACGTGGGACGTCCCGGCAGAGCAGGCGGCCAGCAGGGGGCGCCACACCTGTGGCCGCTGTGCCGAGATGGTCCTGAATCTACCAGGCCTCATGGAGCCCGACAGTGCCTCTCCCCTGCACCGCCGGGGGCCCCCCAAGTCACGCCAGGGCTCCACATTTCAACAGGGCACTCCTGTGTGACCTGGACCCAACTACCTCTACCTGGACTTCACTGCAGTGGATTCCACCCCAACTTTAAACTGTCTCGTGGGCTCCAAGGTGCTCAGAGTAGAAGTTAAAATCCTTCTAAGGGTTTAGACGCTCCACTCAACTCAACTCCCTCACCTGCCCTCTGCTCCCCCTCATCCTCTTCATTCACTCTTCTTTACTGGCCCCCTCACTGTCACTCTTTGTCTCCTCCCCAGGACCTCTGCATAGGTTGTTTCCCCCCGGAACCCTTCTTCCCAGGATCCTCATGACTCATTCTCTGTCCTCCTGCAAATCTTTATCTTTAGTGAGGCCATGCCTGGCCTCCCTATCTACACGTTTAACCTGCCCATCCACACCCCTTTTCCTCCTCAGCACTTATCACTCCCCCATACACCTTATGTTTTGCTAATCATCTTGTTCCCACTAGAATAAAACTTCTTGGGAGCACGAGTTTTTCTATCTGCTTCATTGCTGTTCCCCCCACACCTGGAACAGCATCTGTCAGTATGCAGTAAACATGTAACGGGTGTTTGTAGATCACATTCACACTTGCTACGATCCACAGTCTCAGCACCAAGAGTGGCGGAGAGGCCGTGGAAGATCCAGTCCTAAGAGTACAGGAGAGTGACAAGCCAGGTGTGGCAGGACCACAGAACTCACCCTCCTCCCCAGCCACGTCCACCAGCTGGTCCAGGAAGTCTCTCACCCGTGAGATACTCTGCAGCAGGAAGGGGTGAAGGGGGGCCATCCACAGCTCCTTGCCCTGGCCTAGCTGCTGGCCCAGGTTTCCAATGGTCTGCACAGCCTACAGCAAAGCAGTGGAGAGTGCCAGAAGCAAGGTCACTTTGGGGTGAGGAGAACCAAACAGAGCCCCAGAAACCTGGCTCCAGGTAGTGTTTAACACAAGAACACTCCAAATAGCACCTGCTTTGGCTAGTACTCCAGTGGCCAGGTCTGCAAGGCCAATGCCCTTATTCTGTTCTCTTCCAAACCCAGTTCCCTGACTCGACGCCACCCAGTCACATCATGCGCACAGGAAGCCCACTTTACAAGGGATGGTTCAATTCATACTAAAGTGTACATGACTACTAGGCTGCTTTCCTAACAGGCTAGGGATGTATTGAGGACCAAGGTTTCCCTGGGCCTCTCATCTGGTCTCTGGCAGGTCTAACACTCCTGCTCTGTCCCTACCACACTGCTCCCTCGCTGAGAGACCCAGGATGCGGGCCTCCGCCACTGGTACCTTGGCGAGCAGAAGCAGTGAGCGACTGGTCTGGGGGTCCGCATGCTGCTCCCGGAGGTCAAACAGCTTTGGAGTGAGGATGGCAGGTGCGAAGAACCGCAGAAAGAGAAAGCCACTGATGGCCAGGTACTTCACGTCCTGGGAGAAGAGCCACAGTGAGAGGGATCACCAAAGCCCTAGCTAAGGGATTATAGATTGGTGCGGGGCTGTGTGTGTGGGGGGGGAGCAGTGGGGTGGGATGTGGGTCCGTTGCTCCATCTGCAAAGTGGAATACCAGAATAAGTCCTAAATTCACAATCAGATTTTAACCAAACATCCTCAGAGCCTGCTTTGTGCCAAGCACTTTGAGCAGAACCCTTAGAGGGAGATGCCATCACTATTCCCATTTTCCAGCCGAGGAGGCAGAAGGTCACCTGTTAACCAGCTGGGAAGTGGAGGAGCAGGATTCAAAGCCAGGGCTCTGACTCACGATGATGACAACAGGCCAGACACTTCTCTAGATACATGTTTATTCCATCCTCCCCCGAGAGGCAGAACTGCATTTTACGGAGGAGACAACTGAAGCCCAGAGAGGGAGCATGGCTTGCCCCAGGTCACACAGCCATAGTGGCAGGGCCAAGATCTGAACGCAAGCAGTATTTGAACTCTGCCTGCATTCACCAGCAGCCACTGTGGGTCACCCGCTGAGTGGCAGGAATTCAGCCTGGACCATCCCATGTAATTCTCAAACGATCCCAGCGGGTAGATACGGTTACAGCCATTTTCCAGAGGAGGAAACTGAGGCTCAGCCCCTGACTTCTGCAAGTTGTAGAGCATGAGCCTTGTCCTGTGAGGCCCACGGGGGGCCCAGCTGTAGGTAAGCCTGCCTGACTCAGCTCCAGCAGATGGGCCGCAGGGAGAGGGGTGTAACCAGCCCCCCCAAACCACTCCCCACATCCTTTCACACTCCTCCAGCTCTATTTAGCCAAGAACACGCCGCAGAGTTTATTTAGGATTGTGTTCACACTGAGATAGTACCTCCTTGCGGATGTGCCAGCTCCCAGGGCCCCTTAGCCTTGACAGTGAGCCCTACCAGCAGCAGGCACCTGGAATGGCCCGGGGGAGGGTTCTGCCCCAGCCCCCACTCAGTCTCGACACGGAATGGCTCCAGGAACCTTGGCCCCTCATCCACCAGGTTCTGGGCATTTTGAACTTTCAGTGTGAGCTCATTCACTTCCTCCTTTCTTAAGGAGGAGGAACAGGTGTCAGAGAAAGGGGCTCCCCTGGCTTCCCCTGCCCCATTCTGCCTTCCTGGGCCTGAGAAAGTCCTTGTTCCCTCCCTGTGGCCTCTGACACCACTGGGCACTAAGAACTGGGGCTCCCCCCGCCCCTGGGCCAGGCTGTCTGGGAGGAGCTGGCCTCCTCCCCGCTCCACTCTGTGTCCCACTTAACACCTCTGCCTTCACCTGGGGCAAGAGCCAGGGAAGCAGAGCAGACGTCAAGCCACTTCGCAGTTGGGCACCCCAGAGTTTACTCCCAGCTGGGAATGAGGGGTAAAAGGGATAGACCCCTGCCGGAGTCGGGAGGCCCAGACTGGAGTCCACAATCCTCGGCGGAGGCTCTTTAACTTCTCTGGACTTCAGTTTCCCATCTAGAAACACAAAGCTGGGAGAGATACTGCATGAATGAAGAGTTCTCGGCCTGGACTCTGGGGCCTGGCCACTGAACCGCCAGCATCTGGCAGGTCTCGGCGCTTCCTGCCCAGTGAGCCTCGAATCTGTGTGCCTAGCATTTCAGCGCTTGACATTTGCAAGCAAAGACAACGGCTACATCAGAAAGTGTGATCATTGTTCAACCAGGAGATCTCAAACTGGTGACCCACAGGCCAGACTGACTACCCACAAATGTGGTAACTGGCTTAAAGAGTTGTGTTTGTTTGTTTTTGGTGAATTTGCACCAAATTTTAAATACGAGAAATTTCACAAAAACTCAGAAATGGTGACTTTAAAAAGAAAAAGACCTGGCAATTCAGGGCCCTCATCCTACAGGTAATTGCCTGCCTGGAGCCGCCCCCTTTACATGAGTTGTGGGTGCTCCAGTTTGCCCCACTCTCCACCACTCCCTGCTGGCCCAGCCACAATTGCTTTGTTCATTTCTTGACCTGCCTAACCTCTGCAGCACCCAAGCTTTTCATGTTTGAAGCCATATTGATGAAGTACTAGCACGTGCGGGTTTTCATTCTTAGATTTTATTTTGGATGTGTAGTAGTCAGCACCCACGATGCACCCCTACTTATGTCCAGCACCTACGATGTACCCCTACTTCTCCCCAGCTGGAATTTAAGCAGCACTCACTTTGGGGCAGAATCTGTCACTTGGTGACGTGAGCGCAGACGCAGGAGCCGGTCCACCTGCCCGGTCGCCTACTCTAGCACCACCTCCTGGGGCCCCCGGATCCCCCCCTGTGAAATGGAATAATGCCAGTGCCCATCTTCGAGAGCGGCTACGAAGAGTAGATGAGATGGTGAATTCACCAAGCTCTTAAAGTCACCCCTGAACAGGGCTGATGTTCGATTAGATTCTGCTGCCGTGATGATTGCTATTGCTTTTTAGAAAATATTAATATGAAGCAGCCCAAATGCCCAAAAGTGGATGACTGGATTAAAAACATGGGGTACATATACAAGATGGAATATTACTCAGCAACCAAAAAAGATAAACCCTCGCCTTTCGCAGCAACATGGGTGGAGCTGGAAGGGATCATGCTCGTGAAATAAGCCAGAAAGAAAGGGAAAAATACCGGATGGTTTCACTCCTAGCAGGAGTATAAAGGACCAGGGGAGAAAATAATAATAATAATGAACAGCCATATACCAGAGACATTTTATGGGGGTACAGTAGGGTATGGGATCAAAAACAGTGGGGGGAGGGAAATGCACTGGACTGTGGTGATGACACAGGGGTGAACTGGTGATGGGAAGCCCACGGGGATGACAACTGAGATGGGAAAAGGCACAAAATGATGTAAAAATAAACTATTATATTATTTATATATACATATTATATATATATATATACATACTATATATATTACTATAATGGGCCCTCCCTGGTGGCGCAATGGGTTAAAGCACCGCATTACGAAGCTCTCTGCAGCCACTGCAGCACGAGTTCAATCCCCAGCCGGGAGCTGACCCACAGGGCACAGCAGACCTCTCCTGACCCGCCCGCTGCTCCCCTCAGCAGTGTATTCAGTCAATCTGCCCATTCTGCTCCCCACTCTCTCGCTGGTGAATCCTCTCACCCACCACACCTCTGGCCTGCCCCCAGTTCTGTAAGCATAAATAAATAAATCTTTTTAAAAAATATACTCCTGTGATCATCCTCATGGCCCCAGCACTGACTCCAAGCCCTGCTGTCCGCCTCTGCCCTCGCTGTATGACCTGGACCACCCACCGCCCGGCCCAGGCGTGGTCCCCCCACCTGCCCAGCGGGAGGGCCAGGCCCACCTTGTGCTCTGGCTGGGGGAAGCGCTCCCCCACGCGCTGGTGCAGCTGCCTGAAGGTGAGGCGCAAGGCGGGCGGGCAGCGCCCCACGGAGTCCACGATGCCGTCCACAATGGGCCGCAGGTAGCCGGTCAGCAGCCCCAGGCTGGTCTCTCTCACGTGCTCCTCCGAGGGCGCACCCTTGAAGGAGATTCTCCTGGGGGAGCCAGCAGAGCGGCTGTCTCAGCAGCGGCCCTGCTCAGCACCCGCCTGATCCCCCGCGAAGCTCAGGCGACACCCCCTGCCGCTTAAACCCCCTGAGCTTGATCTTGCCTCAGGTTTTACACATGCTGTGTCCTTGCCTGGGCGCTGTTGTCCCAGTGTCACCCAGGGTCAGTGTCACCTCTTCGGAGAGGTTGTCCTTCCTTAACTGCTCATCATTGCAGACCCTGGCTCAGTGCGTGGTCAGCACAGAGGTGCCAGACGCACCCCCTGCCTCAGGGCCTTTGCACCTGCTGCTCCCACTGTTGGGACTCTTCCACCAGAGCTCTGCACACTGCGCTCTCTCACCTCCTTCAAATGTTTGCGTAAATGTCCACTCTCGGGAAGCCTGTCCCTTTGACCACCCTGTGCACACCGCCAGCCACTCCCCTGCTCCCGGCACTTTCACGCCCTCGCTTCACTCCGCTGGTCACCTGCAGTAAGCTTCTTTAGTTTACTACCCGTTCTTATACTCCCTGCTCTCAGTGCAGGGCCCCAGGAAGTCCCCGGCCATTGTTTTGTTGAGTGGATGAGGAAAGAGCACTTGCTACCTGCAGCTGCCTTTCTTGCTCCCCACAGGGCGAGGGTCTGGCTGGCCCATGGTCAGCCTGCTCGGGCTTTGCTCACCTGCTGCGGCCCAGGTCCATCTTGCACGGATCCAGCTCAATGTACTTCTTCTCCTCAAAGACTCGGTTAATCACCGGCTTCAGGACCTCGTGCAGATAGGGCATGCCCAAGAGCTGGGGGCAGGAGGGCCACTCAGGGAGGGGCCCTAGGGTGTGCCCGAGCCTGGGGTGGCAGTCACTGCCAGGCTGCAAGCCAGGGAAAGGCCAGTCCCCAGCACCCCAGTTTGGCGCCCCAGTGTTGTCTGAGACCCAGGTGTCCAGGCCCGGGGCGTCCAGAGGAGCAGTGGGCAGGGACCCCCCACCCCCGGAGGAAGCGTCTGCCGGGCCCACCACTTCCTCTTCTCACCTTCATAAACTGCTCCATTGACTTGGACGCCAGGGAGTTGGAACGGAAGAGGGTGTTGGGGTCGTCTGGCAGGACAGAAGGAAGTGTTGCTGTGACTTGGCAGGGGCGTGGGTAGGGGTGTGGCACTGCGCCCACCTCTCCCTTCCCACCAGCCTGGGGTCATGATTCTTCTAGCCTCAGGAATCCAGCGGACCTCAAGTCTCTTCACAGGAGAGGCCCAGAGTGGTGAAGGGAGCTACCTAAGGTCACACAGCTCACAAGCAGCAAACCAGGGCTTGTCCTCAAGACTGAGTTCCCAGCCAGCTAGGGCACAGTCCATGGGGCTGTTCCCCCCACCACACCCTACCCCCACACAGATGCAGGAGTCCCTGCCCCTGCCCGAGACCTCTGCCTTTCTCCCCACTTCTGCAGACCCCCCCGGGGAGTGAGGTCTGGGTCATGCAGGAGATGCCAGCAACTCACTGGTCCGTGCCACCTCACGTCGGGTCAGATAGTCCAGAAAGGGCAGGGCGAGACCCTGGCCAAGGAAGAGCTTCACCAGCTTGGTGGCGAGGTCCTGGCGGCAATCCCCCACCGTCAGCTCCTCCAGCACGGCCAGGGGGCTCACAGTGTCCTCCTGGGTGAGGACGGGAGGCAGGAGAGGTGGGCCCTGGAGCCCAAAGCAGGGCTCCCCAGGGCAGGGGAGGCCACGACCCAGATACCCACACGCCCAGTGGAATTGCCCGTCGCAGGCACCCACCTCTGCTGGCCCCAGCACGGCCTCCGTGAGCAGCGCCCTGAGAGGCTGGTAGTGCTGGGAGAGCAGGACCCGGTCCTCGCTGAGACGCACCTTCAGCCGCAGGGCACCCAGGTTCCCCCTGGCCGGGGCAGACCCCAGGCGAGCGTGAGCATGCATGGCACATACGGACCCCCAAGGACAGGAGCATGTGTGTTTGCAACACAAGACAGGTGCGGACAGGCATGTCCAGGATGAACAGGCGTGTTCAGATGTTGACAGGTTTAAACGGAAATGGACAAGTGCAGACAGTGAAAACGGATGTGACCAGTGAGGAAAGATACAGCCGGTGTGAACAAACGTTGCAGGAAGGGGCAGTGTGGCCAGCTGTGGACACAGCCAGCTCGCCAGCAAGCGTCGGCCAGTGTTAACTGCCGTGTTGGCACGTGGACCTGGGCAGCGGGGCTGGACGTCTGTGAAACCTCACGGTGCAGTGGCACGGGGTGGCGCGCAGGCCCGTAAGGACCTGCGTCCAGGGGAGGACTGTCCCCCACTGGTCTGGCCTGGCCTCCTCCCTCTGCACCCACATTTACCTCGAATCCTCTTCAGCTCTGGGAAAGGGCAGGAGGCGGAACCAGCCACTGGGGGGATTCTGCTGCAGGACCTGAGGGGAAAACTCCACCTGTGGGGGGCAGGGGGGTCGCATCCTCAGTGGAACCCCGCCCTGCTGGGCCCAGAGCTCAGACTGTGTAGGCAAGGAGGAGTGGCAGAGGGGACCAGGGCCATCTCCTCCCCCACCCTATCCCGTTGACACGATGGGGTGGCACTTCCTCCCCATCCCAAATTCTTAGCTCCTGTGGGAGCACTGAGGACCTCCAGGGGATACTTAATTCACAACTGAGGAAACTGAGGCTCAGAGAGGCAGACACACAGCAACTAGAGATAGCATGTCTAGACTGCATGTGTTCTCAGCTCTGTGTAGGGACACAAATGCATCTATCAAAAGGCCTAAAGACAGTGCAAAAGGCCCCCAAGCCACACCTCCTCTTTTTAAGTAAAACTTTATAGAAATAAAATTCACATCCCATACAATTCACCTCTTTCCAGCACACAACTCCGTGGTTATTAATAGCTAGAGTTGTACATCGTCATTCTCATTTCAGAACATTTTCTTTTAGCCCTGCTGAAAATCTGCAGCCCTTAGCAGTCTCTCCCCATCTCCCGATCTCTCCCTCTCCCAGCCCCTGGCAAACTACTAATTGACCCTCTCTCTCTTTAAGGACCACCTATTCTAGACATTCCCTGTCAGTGAAATTGCAGAAATGTAGGTTTTGGAACTGGGTTCTTTCACTTAGCATCATGTTTCTAAGGTTCATGTAGGTTGTAACTCTGTTGATGCCTCATCCCTTTTAACAGCTGTATAGTATTCCACGATCTGGCTAAACCCATTGTGGGTATGCATCTGTTGGACACGTGGGTTGTTTCCACTTTGGGCTATTAGAGAGATCATAAGGGTCATGTAAATGAGGCCATGCTGGAGAAGCTCTTAGCACAGGCTCATCCCAGGCACTCTCATCCAAAAAGAAGTATCCTGGACCTCCCTGGTGGCTCAGGGGTTAAGTCTCAGCACTATCCCCAGCCACTGTGGCCTGAGTTGGATCCCCAGTCAGGGAAGTGATCCACATGGCATAGCAGACCTCTCCTGTCTCACCCACTGCTCCCCTCGGCACTGTATCTCAGTAGATCCACCTGTTCTGCTCCCCACCCTGTCTCTGGAGAATCCTCTCTCCACCCACCTCTGGCCTACACCCCAGTTCTTGTATGCATAAATGAATAGCCTTTTTTTAAATAAAAGAAACAAAAGAACCCATGTTCACCCCGTGACCTGGGAGAGGTTCCCGCACCTTTGAGAGCCTCAGTCTCCTCACTGTGCCCGTGGGAGAAGCCACCGTCCCCAGCCTGGCCAGGGCCTGATGAGACAGCCTCACATCTAGCTGTCTGGGGTCTGGGGTGCCCAGGGTGTCTGCACCTTCCTCCCCCTGCAGAGACGTGGGAAGCCAGAGAGGGTGCTGGGAGGATGTGCTCACCATGCCCAAGAAGTCGTTCTTGCCCACCATGTCCCAGTCCCAGAGCTCCACCCTCAGTGGGGCCGGGCCCCCCGGCCCTTCCCGCAGCTCTAGCACCTCGTCCCAGTGTGGGAAGCGGGTCTTCTTGATGGTCTGGGGGAGAAGGGAGTCAGGGTGAGAGCTGTTGGAGACCCCTACCACAGGTCCCCCACTCCTCCCCTGCTCTGCTCCCCACCACTCACCGAAGTGTCCAGGCTCTGGCTGCCCCAAAATACACGTGCGAATGGGTCTGATGTGCCGGAGAGGTCACGGGGGGCCAGGTCTCTGGGGACAGATGAGGAAAGCAGTGGGGGACACTGGCCCCTCAAGGACCCACGCTGGACTTAACGGGGTGAAAGTCGTCCATTCAAATGTTGCTGGTTCCCCAAGCAATGAACTCCATGTGGGGCCCAGCAAGGGGCTTGCCTCCGCCCCGACACCTGTGTAGACCCAGCACCTCCCTGTTGATGAAGTGCCCTGTTCTCCAGAAGAGGAAGCTGAGGCTGAGAAAGGTCAGCCCGCATCACAAGGACCAGGAGATGAAGGTGCAGTGGGACAGGAGAAAGGGATCCAGGAGTTCCCGGGAGGCCTGGGAGGGGAGACCGGAAACCTGGCTCCTCTTTCATTGGTTGGGTGACACTGGGCAAAGTCAGCTCAGTTCCTGAGCCTCAGCTTCCTCAAGTGGAAATGGGAGCAGTACCAGACCAACCGTGCAGGGCCAAGTGTTAAATGGCATGATGTGTGCACCAGCCTTAACAAAGCAGCCGGCAAGTGCTCAGCTCACTCACTCATTCAACAAACACTCTGATCTTCTCCCTGCCCAAGAACAGGCCTGAGGCAGGGACCCCCTGCCTCTGGTTGTCACGACAACCCAGAAGTCTTACTCCAATTAGCTTCTCCTTTCCCTCCTTCCTGAGGCGCCCCAAATCCAGGGACACCTCCCCTAGGGGATGCTGACTTCCTTCTCCTGCTCCTCTCCCACCCTGCTGGCATCCAAAGCCTTCTTTGGTTTCCTAGGAGCCAATCCAGTTGCTAAGCGACAGCAATCAGTTCCTCTCCTGCTTAAAAAGATCCAGCATAGCCTTGTGGCTGGGGAGAAGACCATGGGTGCAAAGCACCTGAGAAGCCCCTGCCCCTTTTGTTGAGTCCTTCACAGTTCTGTTGCCCTGGTGCTTCTTCATCCAGACTCCAGGAAGCCCCAGCTGAAGTCATGACTGGGGGCAGAAATCTGGAAGTGGAGGGAGAGGCACAGAGAGGGCAAGAAAGAATTTTAAGGTCACACAGCAGCTGGAAATACAGGTGGTCTGTCGCCTGGGCAAGGTTCAGCCTTCACACGAGGGTTGGAGAAGTAGGGAATGCCTAAGTGGCAGGAAGTCAAATGGGAAGTGAGCAGGAAAGAAGAGAGGAAGTGTTTGAGGGAGCAGAGTGATGAGGGAGCTGAGGAAAAGAGGATTCCAGAGTGCTGCATGGCCAGGAGAGATGAGGGATATCCACTCTGCAGGAGCAGATGCCCCTGGAGGGCTGACTTTCCTGGTCCTGCATCTGGCTTCCTTCTGCTATTTCTTTGGGACCGGATACACCACAATCCAGTCCGCATGACTCAGGTCATGATCCGTCCCCCCACTCCAGGAATGGTTTGTGGATCCAGGCTGACCATTCAGTCAACACAGTTGGTTCAGAGATGGACATAGGCCCCAGACTGAGCCAACAGGCATTCACACCAGGACATTGGCTAGAAATAGTAAGAAATAGAAGTTCTTTTTCAGTCGGAGCTGCCAAGTTGGTAGGTTGCCATCCTGAGATTCCCAGGGGCATTTTGCCCCAGCTGGGGAAAGATGACCTGGGAATAAAGCTAGCAACAAAGACAGCCACGGAGTCTATCCCTATAGATAACTGATGTCACTGTTTGAGCACCTAGATCCAGCCATGCCTGAAGCTCCTGTCATTCATATGAACCAATCTCCTGAGGCCACTGCTGATTGGGTAGACACCAGTTACAATTTGACTGCTACTTCGAACTCATCTGTCAGGCCATTCTGAGTGTGGCTTTTGGTGCTTGTCAGTGGGGACCAAACAGGAATTTTACTTTTGCTTTGCTCCCTCCCACCTCCGCCCAGAGTTTACAAATGGGTGAGTTTGGACAGTTTGCCTACAAGGCATTCTGACAGTGCACCCAGAAGTGCCCCAGGGGTGAGGAGACCCCTGAGGAAAAGGCAGCTGGGATGCCCAGAGGGTTCCTGCTCATCCTCAGATCCCCCGCCACACCATCCTCAGGCTGACCATACCTGGCCTGGAGCACGTGGCAGCGGAGGCAACGGCCCCGCCCATCCTGCAGCATCTGCACAGTCAGACAGATCTCACCCTGCACCTCCGCGTCGGGGTCCACACGGCTCAGGTTGATCCAGCTATCAATTCCTGGAGGGCACAGGTATTGAAACACCTGCTATATACTAGGCATTGTGTTCACTTGAAAATTCAGTTAATTAAAAATGCAGGGTCCTCCCTGGTGGCGCAGCGGGTTAAAGCGCAGCACTAAGAAGCTAAAAGCCACTTCAGCATGAGTTTGATCCCCGCCTGCCCCGGAGGTGACCACATGGCGCGGCAGACCTCTCCTGGCCCGCCCGCTGCTCC